TTTGTTGGCAATACGTGCTACAGAGAAAAGAGAAACACAAAAGGGGATATGTTCATTGACTTTAGAGAGGAAAAGTGAGCGAGCGAGAGAGAGAGAGAGAGAGAGAAACATCAATCAGTTGCCTCTCATATTCATCTCAACTGGGGACTTATCCCACACCCTTAGCATGTGACCTGACCTGGTGGTATGTGGACATTTAATATGGGAGAAAGAAACCTAAACACCATGGAATTTCTGAGAGGAGAGAATATAACACAACCAAATAATTATTTTATATTAGGTGGTCTTATTAAGCTGGGGATTTTTTTTTTTAAATACACATCCTCTTGTTCTTCCACATTCATATATGCTCTCCAGCCTAGGCTAAGGTAGGGAATAGGTCAAAGTGCTTTCCAAAAGCTCTCCAGGTTATACCGATATTCTCTCTAGGTTGAAAACCATTGGTATATAACATTAATTTCAGCTTGTAAACTCAATGGTTTTGATGTTTGTGATCATACTCAAGTTATAAAGCCAATGTCAAAATATAGCGAAGCTACTCTTGTTAAGTAAAAATGATTAAAATTCATTTTTCAAGATTTTTACAAACCTGGCTAAATAATGAAACAGGGTATTTAAACAGGGTAGTGCCATTTTCCTGAAAAATTCTTTTGGGCTACTTTGACTGTATTCCTGGATAATTCTGGATAAGTAAGACATTATCATAAGACTGCCAGATGGAATTAACTGCCATTGTCATAAGAGGAAATCACCTGTCGTTGATCCCCAAGTTGGTTGGGAGCAACCAGAAATTCCTTAATCTGTGCGCTTACAAAGTTTGTATCCTGGCAGGATGCTAAGGTGGTTCCCAAGGCCTTCCAAAGGAATTTCTGCAAAAGAAAGGACAAGCAAAAGAATGTTAAGCAAGACTCGGATGACTTAATATACTTTATCCAGGGAACCCTCATAACACAACCCTCAGAGGTGGCTATCAACTCTGTTTCATTGGCCAGTGTACTGAGACTCCAGGCAGGGTAAGTAATTTGCCTACAGCTGCATAAGTAGCAAGTAGCAGAAAGTGGGTTCATACAACGAGGAGGTTAGGTAAAAGCCACTTGGAGACAGAGGAATGAAAGAACACGCCTTTGAGCATTGTTTTAGCTCCAAGTTTTTAAAACTGTAGTAGATTCTTTTCTGACAGCTTCTGTCGGCCTTCCAGTAGTCATTGTCTCCCTTCTCTAGAACAGAAGCTCTGGATTTCACTCAGGAGCATGTCTATCTTGAAGACACTATGCTCCTCATTGTTCTCAGACAGCTGTGGCCCTGTAATGTGGTCAAATGCGAGGTGAAGAGAAGGTAGCATTTTTCTAACAAGTCCTCCCTCTTTTTATTTTATTTTTTTCCTCTCTGTACTTCTCTATTTTATTTTTAAAAATTCTTTATTGTTTAAAGTATTACATATGAATCCTTTCCCCCCATTGACCTCTCCCTTCTTGTAGTTCTTTGTTTGTCTTGCCTTGTTTTGTAAAGCTTCCAATGTATAAAGCATTTGGTCAACTTGCATTTTTTAAAATATATTTTTGTTGATTACAGAGAGGAAGGGAGAGGGAAAGATAGAAACATCAATGGTGAGAGAGAATCATTGGTTGGCTGCCTCCTGCATGCACTCTACTGAGGATTAAGCCTGCAACCTGGGCATGTGCCCTGACTGGGAATCAAACCATGACCCCCTGGTTCATAGGTCGATGCTCAACCACTGAAACACACAGGCTGGGCTCCTCGCGCTTTGTGGTTGCAGTACAGATGAATTGGAACCTGAGCAGCCATTTCACATTATAAGGTAGAGCTAAGGCCCCTTAACTGGACACCAACCTTCTCAATGGAGGTGTTGTTGTAACTGCTCATTTGCTGACTGAAATCCAGACTCAGCTGAATGGTCCAGGCTATGTCACTGATCTCCCATAAAGACTCTTTGAGCAACTGTGGTAGGAAGTGGAAGTCAGATATAAATGTGACTGTTTAGTGTGCTTTCTTGATACTTAGTACCTTATTTTTCAAACGTATAAATATATATTAGATGGGGTTATTCCATTTCCCATATAAAAATGAGTTACTTTGGGACTTTGTGTCTTGTTTTATTTTAAAAGCCATATTCTCTATGTTCTGAATTTCCATTAGGAACAAATCACACAGAACGTGGTAGTCACTATAGGTAAGTGCTTTTTCCTTTCTTTTTCTTCATAAGTAAAAATTGCTTAAAGACTTAAAAGAAAGTAATCTATTCTGAAACTTAATTGAAGTTAACATTTTTCAAGGTGTGAATAGATTTATAAAAACTCCACAGTGTTAGTTTGCTTTATTATATACACTTTAAAAAAGGACATTTTTGGAGCAAAGAAATGAATGTCTTTACGAACTAATTACATATACAGGCACTTTTTGCTAACTTCAACTCTAGTAACTAAACATTCCTAGCTTCACCAATTGTTCTGAGCCAAGGCCATGACCAGCCATCTGAACCCATGTTTTTCTTCATTGAACAATGCATACAAAGGTGTTTTTTGTCTTTTTGGAGGACGGCATCCATTGCACTTTCTGAAAACCATTATTCTCTACTTTAAGCTTAGAGAAGGACACAATGTCAAAGCCAATGAAAAACTCTGTATGCATTTTCATATAGGAACTCATTCAGTGAGTGGGTCCTTTGAAGGGGAAAAATGAAACAGCCTTGGAAATTTGAGGGAAGAAGGCACGTGCAAACAGTTTTGGAAGAAGGCTAGAAGCATACTCAAGACTGCAAGAGGGAAAGAAACTGTCCTAAGGCGTCTCTCTAGAGAGAAAGCCTTCCTTCCTGGTAAGAACAGTTACTGTAAAATGGTAGCAGGAGAACATAAGGTAGGAATTTTGATGGGGTGGGGGAGATAACAGAAATGGGAGTAAGGAGAAGAGGTGGATGCTAGAATTAAGGACCAGTAGAGTGGACAGTGGCTCACACATCCCATATTGGGTAAGAATCACCGTGGGAGTCTTTAAAAGGCATCGATTCTCAAGTACCTTTTGGAAGGGGCGGTGATGGGAGGTGGAAGTGCTTGGGAGAAGTCACTGAAAATTGACATTTTAAAAAATATATTTTTATTGATTTCAGAGAGGAAGGGAGAGGGAGAGAGAGAGAGAGAAACATCAATGATGAGAGAGGATCATTGATTGGCTGCCTCCTGCATGCCCCACACTAGGGATCAAGCCTGCAACCCAGGCATGTGCCCTTGACCGGGAATCGAACCTGGGACCTTTCAGTCCGCAGGCCAACACTATTCACTAAGCCAAGCCAGCTAGGGCTGAAAATTGACATTTTAAAAGAAGCCGTATGATACCGTATTTGCCGGCGTATAAGACGACTGGGCGTATAAGACATTTCCACTCAAAATACAGAGTTTGTTATATACTCGCCGTATAAGACTACCCCCTCTTCCGCACACCTTCCACACACCAAATAAAAGGTAAAACAATATCAGATTTGATTTTAACATTTTAATTTATATTCAAATGCTTATGACATGCAGGAAAACTGTCACAAGGCTGTATGTAATCAAACATATACATAAAACAGTGCAAGTTTATTACCGGTAAACATACCGGTAATTCACTAAAGAAAACACACTCTATAGACTGGTACCGTAGATGCTTCTCAGGAACACAGGCAAGCAGCCCACAACCTAGAGGGACTGTCAATGATAGAAGAAAGATAACAAATAGAGGTAGAGAGCAAGTGCCGGGCAAGTCCCTAGCAATCGCGAATCTTCAATGCATATGTAAAGAAATATACGGTAACCCGAATTTACCACACTCGCAAAATCGCACACAGCCAACCATACACCCAGTATGGTATCGCGATTCGTGATTTTGCGCTATCATACTGGGTGTATGGTCGGCTGTGTGCGATTTTGCGAGTGTGGTAAAATCGCATAACAGCAAAATCGCATAACAGCCGAGCATACACCCAGCAGCGCTGCTGATGCCTGAACGGTATGTGGAATGAAGTGGGCGGGCATCGGGAGGCCACTATGGCACGGGGCAAGCACTATGGGCAGTCTATCTGAAGTGTACCTGGCGTATAAGATGACCCCCCACTTGGAGGCATATTTTTCAGGGCCAAAAAATCGCCTTATACGCCGGCAAATACGGTAGTTACCAAATAGTCACGGCATGTAAAGTCCAGCAAAGGGCATTTGGTCAGTAATATTATAATAACTATGAATGATGTCAGGTGGGTACTGGAAATATCCGGAGAGACACTCTGTAAAGTGTATGATTGCCTAACCACGGTGCTGTTCACCTGAAATAACACAAAAAAATACTGAAAGTAAACTGTAATTGAAAAAATATTCCAAAAAAATAAAAAATAAAGGAAACGGTATGTAATTGCTCTGTAGGCACTTTGTAAACTGAAATCCTGCTAGAGTCAAAGCTCCCTGCTCATGGTCGCCTTGACCCTCTGCAGGCTCCTGAAACCAAAACCCTCCCTGGGAAGCCAATGCACAACTCTTGGCTGAAATTCACAATTTGCGGAATTTGGCATCATTTGGAGCACGAAAGAAGAGGGTTTTTTTTTCTGAAAAAGGGGCACAATGTGGCCCTTTGGTTGTTAGAAATCAGGAAAAAGACAGTGAGAAGCAGATAGAGAAAAAAGTGGAATTGTATTTAGAAGTGGAAATTATGCTAATCTCAGTTTCTTTCTTATTTTTTTAAAAAATATATTTTTATTGATTTCAGAGAGAGGAAGGGAGAAGGAGAGAGAGAGAAACATCCATGATGAGAAACTTTGTTTGGTTGCCTCCTGCACACCCCCTACTGGGATCAAGCCTGCAGCCTGGGCATGTGACCTAACTAGGTATCAAACCATGACCACATGGATCAATGCTCAACCACTGAACCACGCCCGCTGGGATCGGTTTCTTTATATGATGGTAAAAGAATGCAATTGCAAGGGGGGGGGGATGGGAGAGAGAGAGAGAAAGAGAGAGAGAGAGAGAGAGAGAGAGAAACAACTCTGAAAATTGGAGAAGATTTAAGAAAGACCCAGAGAAAAATATTTTAAGTACAATATTCAAAACTGTCTTAAACTCTTAATCAAATTGGAGACTAAAGATTGTTGCTCAATCTTAAAGATGGTGATTTAAAGACAGTAATTCTTAAGTGATTACTTCTAACATCCTAGTCCTTTTCCTAAGAAAAGGAAATGATGATTACTGCCCTGTGGAATCCAGTTCTTTTTGGTCAAGATGGGTAACTTCAGCTGACTTTTTCACCCCATCGTCCACAATTAATGTAGCCGCCACCCTTACCTGAAGCAGCATGGCTTCCCATAGCGCGATGCTGGCATTCTTTCCTACAAAAAGAAAGGATGCAATAACTGCCCCAGAAATGGAGACTCAGTGTCTCCCTTGCAAGGTCCCCAGCGGATGCTGCAGTTCCATGTCAAGCTTTGTCTTTACACAGGGGGATTATTTCAGATGAAATGTAACAGACTGCCAACTTTCAAGTGCTAGTCAGGTGGGCAGAGGGTTTTCAATCCATGATGAAATCTAGGCTTTTTGCCAATTTCAACAGTAACTACTGAAATGACCAGATTTCAATATTTCAACATGGAGGAATAATAACTTTTTAGAACAATACCAAAACAGAGTTTCTCTAAGACCAGAGGAAGACCAGGGCAGAAGTAAAAATTCCTGGGAAGGATGTTGCCCACTTGGTCAGCAACAAGTGTTTCTAGCACAAGTGTTTTGTAGAGAAATACAACATGAGCAATCAAGGAAAAAATACAGGTGTCTCCTTGTATATCAAGTTCATTGCTTTTACTGCCTAAAACGAACAACCATGGCTTTAGACAGAGAAATGGTGCCTCATTTCTCTGTGTTTTTTGCCTCCTCAGATCAAGACCGGGTCCCCCTCCCTGTACCTTCCAGAGGTTGCAGGAGCTCAGGTAGGCGTGCTTTCCACAGGTTTGTCAATTTGGGGTGAATTATCTCGGGCAGTAGCTTCAAAAGTCCTATGGCACCAACCCCGCTTAATTTTCCTAGACTGGCGAGCATTGATATCACCTGTGAGATAGAAGAGAAAATGCTGGTCAACTCAGGGGTATTTGAAAGGCCACCGACCTTTTCCTTTTCACGATTGTCCTGGATTCCCTTGATTCCTGCGTTAGCTAATCTTTTGATAAATCATACCAGTCTGTTCTCACCGATTCTAGAGCAGAAATCAATGAAAGTACCGACACTGTAGACATATTTGTTAATTAAATAAGGGCATGTGGAATGAGTGCTTGAGTAAATGATACACATGCAATCTAAGTAATAGATGTGGAAGTTGTTCCAATGGCACTTATGGATCAGATGCACTCTATGATTATTTTAAAATCAAAAAGTTTAACAAACATTTCAGAGTGAGAAGATAATCTAGCCAATTATAAAGTTTCACGAGTGCCATTAGTACAGCAGAACATTTATTATGCCTTTAGTGTTTCTTTTGGTTGGGAGTCTATATAATGTTTATTAGCATTTGCTTGGACCTGAGTCGCAGGTATTGGCTTCCACTTATGCCACATTGGCTTTTCCAAACTCACTCACCAGAAGTCTGGCCAGGAGCTGTTGTGGCGAAGGAAGTCTCACTAGAAAGAGAAAGCAAGGTTCATTATTGCTGCAGGGGCTAGCAAATTCCAGATTGGGGTTGGGTATATCATCAAAGCCCTATAGTCTTTCAGGAAATGAATCTCAGATAAGAGAAATGTTTTACCTTTTAAAAAATATGTTTTTATTGATTTTTAGAGAGAGAGGAAAATTTTGAGAGAGACAGAGAGGAAGATTTTGAGAGAGGGAGAGAGAGAGAGAAAGAGAAATATTAATGTGAGAGAGGAACATTGCTTGGCTGCTTCCTGCACGCCCACCACTGGGGATCCAGCCTGCAACCCAGGCATGTGCCCTGACTGGGAATGGAACCAGCAACCTTTTGGTGCCTGGGACGATGCTCAACCAACCAATTGAGCCACACCGGCCGGGGCTCGCTTTGTTTTTGAATGTACAAACCAACTCCTGTAGAAATGACAAGGGCTGTTGACTCTGAGGCATTCTTCTTCTTTCTCTCCTCTGCCATAATCAGGCTTCGGATGATGTTGAACAGGGAGTCCAGCGTCCCCGTGTATTCGGCAGGTATCACAAAAGTCAGGATGCGTGGCCATAGCACCTGTGGGAAACAGGCCAAGATGCAGGGTGGCTTATTCTTTTCCATAAATTTCTCCTTGGTTCTCGCTGACTTGGAAAAATTTCCCCCCCTCTTGTTATTTTGCTCTACAGGACAAGTCAAGATGAAATCATTGAACAAGACCTCTGCACAGCACATTCACCTTCAGCTGCTGGGTGCCGTGAGTGTTGGTCGGCGTCTCTTCGTGGGGTTGTTGCTGGAATTGGGGCCGGTCGGTGGATTCTTCAATGTGAGGAAGTGTTGTGGGCGCCGCATCCCTGGGCTCCCCACTCAAGTGCTCCCTCTGGGAATAGCCTCTGACCCGCTTAAACTGGTCTTTGATGGACTCCTGGCTGCACCAGGTATTTCTGGCCATGAAATCCTGACTTTTGTGATCATGTAGCTCATGGAAAATACAGATTCCAAGGTGCCTGCCCTGAGGTTCAGATTCTATTAGGCTTCAAGGGAGGCCTGAGAATGTGTGCTTTGACTAGCTCCCCAGATGAATGTTTAGCGGCCACTGCATTGGACCACCACTCACTACATAACAGCTTATCTAGGCACATTAGGGGAAGAAGAGAAATGATATATTAAGGTGCTGATAAACGGCCATTTGCTATCCAGATAGAAGACATTATTTTATGAATGAATTCGATACCTGTCTTTGCGGAACTACTATATGCTGTGCACTGGGCTCACAATCACCTTGCTCTAGTCCAGCGGTTCTCAACCTGTGGGTCGTGACCTCTTTGGCGGTTGAACGACCCTTTTACAGCGGTCGCCTAAGACCATCCTGCATATCAGATATTTACATTACGATTCATAACAGTAGCAACATACAGTTATGAAGTAGCAACGAAAATAATTTTATGGTTGGGGGTCACCACAACATGAGGAACTGTATTATAAGGTCACGGCATTAGGAAGGTTGAGAACCACTGGTCTAGGAAGAAGGCTTCCATGAATTAAAGTAAGATATAGAAATTTTTTGATATTTGCAACCATAGTAAAACAAAGATTTATATTTTTTGATATTTATTTTATATATTTAGATGCCATTTAACAAAGAAAAATCAACCAAAAAAATGAGTTGGCGTGTCACCTCTGACATGCGTGTCATAGGTTCGCCATCACTGCCAGAGCTTCAGGAAGCTGATGACACATGGGGGGCACATCCGCGTCTTTACTTTGAAATGGGCAGAGCTTTAGAAAGGCGATCGAAGTAACTGTTGGTGGCGACAAAGACCCCTTACCTGAGGCATCCCAATGACCAGTGGGTCCAGCCTTTTTAAGACCTCGAGGCTTGTTGCTCGGACAGATTTCTCTCCTGCTTCATCCTCATGGGAGGTAGGCTTCGCTGGTTTGTCCTTCAAGAAACATGAAATGGGTGACGTGTTCAGAATCCCTGCCGTGGGCCCCTCTGACTGGCCGTGGGGCCCTCGGGTTGAGTGCTCAGACTCTGGGGTGGAGGACACAGCCACTCAACCTAAGGGGCTCATGGAGCCTGGCCGGCTCGGTCTTCAGCATCTAATCCCTGTTTTAAAATGCTTCCTGGAGGAATGGGTTGGGAAAAACACCCCTGACTGAAGCAGAAAAGCAAAAATTGTGAGGACCCATGAGCTGCAGATATTCCTCCTCCTCCTCCTCCTCCTCCTCCTCCCCTCCTCTTCTTCCTCCTCTACTTCTTCCTACTCTTACTCTTCTTTCTTTCTCTCTCTCTCTCTGGCCTTTGTAATTTTCTCTGGCACAAAAAATTTCAAATACAATGCTCTCTAGTGGACTTCAGTTTTAGTTGTGATGAACTTGCTAAGATCTCTGAGATCTTTTTTACAGCAGCAAGTATTTCATTGTGCCCAGGGGAGGGGAGGCTGGGGGAAGGTCAATGGGGGAAAAAAAGGAGACATATGTACTACTATTTGTAATACTTTAAAC